ACCTGCCGAGTTTTTGTACTTGTATCTTGGACTCCCACATGTTGTATATAGATCGACGTGAATACCAGTTGATATTTATTTGATAACTGTGACTGTTGGAAGTACCCATGTTAATTAATACAAAGCCGAAAGCGCGATAAGTTTATAATTATTGTACATTGTGTTTTCCTGCCGTGTTGGTCGCATCCAGGCCATGAGATGAGCCATTCTAAATTCTCCTTTTAGATTTTGAAACACAAACAACAGCTCAGACACCTGTTCTACCGGCGGCCTTGATGGTTCCTGTGTTGGCCAATGCAGGCAAGGCCTTTTGGGGAGAGGGCAGGGATGGTGGAGGAAGGAAGCCGGCGCCCACAAGCCAGGCCAAGTATAATCCCATAAGGGAATCATCCACTGTGGATGTCAAGTCGCCGCCGTCGCGTCTCAGGAGGGCCGTAGTATTGGAATCGTCCAACTCCGGAGACTTCGTGCTGGTGGGCAGGTCGTCGAGAACGAAATGCAGGAGAGGGAAGAGGGCGTTATCGCCCACCTCCATAACGTGCTGCTCAAGCTTGCGACGCCAGACAAGGTATTCACACGGTTCTGTCGGAAAACCGTATTGCACCAATGTCGACAGCATGCCGTTGAAAGTGGGTAAAGGCCGTGCGGTGATGTGAAGAACGGAGAGTGCAGCATCAGGTAAAGGAGAAACTGCTGCCAAAGAGGTGCAGCGGGCGACATGGTCGACAGGCACCATGTTGATGGTGTTGTTGATATCGGGAACGAGTCCAAGCTGGACACATCCCTTGACCATACGCCAGATGAAATCATCCGTATTCGTGACTAAAATTGTATATTAGGACACCCAACTCACGAAGAATCGACAGATTTACTCACCGGCAGTATGCGAATCGCCAACGACGTAACCTGGACGTATGATGTGTCCTCGCAGGCCCCGCTTGCCAGCTTCAAACAACAGTTTCTCAGAAACCCACTTGGATTGTCCATATCCAGTCTTCAGGGATGACTTCGCTCCCTCCAGGTCGTCACTCTCTGGAACACCTTGGATGCTTGATCCGCTGCGCGCCAGCGACTCGGAGAGTTGCACGTAATGCTCGGTGTCAATCGCAGACGTCGATGAGACGAAAACGAAGGCCTTTGGTTTGCCTGTCGATGCAAGGTTGATGGCCGTGATGGTACCAAGAACGTTCGGCGAACGCAGTTTCTCGTAAGGGAAGACCCAATGAACCTACAAAAAATAAGCTCGTCAAGACGACAACCCAAAGGACGCAAGCGGGTGCTTACAAGAGCACCGTTGTGCAGGACTGCATCGGCCTCGTTTGCAACTCGTGTCCAGGTCTCTTTATCCAAACCAAAGTTGTCTAGACCGAGATCACCAGTGACAACCTCAAGTCGACCACTTGTGACCCACTCATCCGACCAGACACCTCGATCCGTCGACCCTTCCTTGAGACGGGCAAGACCCTGTTGAACAGTCTTGGCACGAACGAGACAAATGACTTTCTTGACCCTCTCATTTCGCGAAAGTAGGTTGTGCAGCACGAAGGCACCCAGGAAACCGGTCGCTCCAGTAAGGAACACTGTAAGTGGACGAGCATTGAAATCCGCAGGAAGGGCAGGATACGATGGCTGAAGTTTATCGAGGAGGGCAAGGTAATCCTTGCCGTACTCGACGTGTGGCGAAACAGCTTTCTTCGCTTCAGCTCCAGGCGCAGCGAGGAGCCCACCTGTTGGTGCAGCGGCAGGTGCCTTGTACGCGAGCCCAAGGTCGCCGGTTCGCAAAGCGTCAACGGCTTCGACAAGGCCAGCGATCGTAGGCTGCTCAAAGATCAACCCCAGAGGCGCATCGACGACAAACACCTTGCGGATTTCGAAGATAAGCCTGGTTGCCAGGATCGAATGGCCGCCAAGATCGAAGAAGCTCTCGTCTGACGGGATCGGCTTGGGTGCATTGGGGAGGATGGTCGACCAGATGTGTTGCATGGTGATTTCGGTGGTACTGGTCCCAGGTGCGGCAGGAGCGGCTGCTGTGAGGGTTGCTTGGGCGGTATCTGGGAAGGGAAGCGCAGGCTTGTCGATCTTGCCATTTGGATTCAGAGGCATGCGAGATAGAGGTACGAACACTAAAAGAGCATGTAAGATCGGGAAATAAATGAAGCAAGGAAAGTAGCATACGCGTGGGCACGCTGTAGCTCGGAAGCTTCTTCTTGAGGTGTTCGCGAATGTCCTTGATGAGTCGTCTGTACCTCCTCATACCCTGCACCAGACCCTTCGCGTCCTCGTCGTCTCCGACATCGCTCGCATACGCTGCCAAGTTCGGATCATCCAGCGGCACGAAATAGCTAACGAGAATCTTCTCCTCGTCTTTATCTCTCCTCACCAGCGTCACGTTCTCGCGCACAAGAGGATGCTGGCTCAGATGCGTATCGATCTCGCCAAGCTCGATGCGGAATCCACGAATCTTGACTTGGTCGTCCGCTCGTCCAGTGCACTCCACAACGCCATCAGGAAGATAGCGTCCAAGATCTCCGGATCGGTACATGCGATCGCGGATGCCCATCCAGTAAAGGGCCTCTGGACCCGCGAGATGCTCTTCTGGGTGCAATATGGTATCCTTGCGAGGAGGCGACTTGGCAGAGAACCAGTTCGTCACGAATTTCTCGGCGCTCGCGTCTTGGTCGAGATACCCTTCTGCCAAACCGCCTGACCGAACGTAGATCTCGCCGACCTCGCCCACAGCGCAAGGGATGTTCCTGTCGTTCCTGTTCACCACCAGGAGCTGCACGTCGATCATACCCTCTCCCGCGGGCATAATGTCCTTCTGCGTGGCAAGGAACGTGGAATCCTGCGCCACTGGTGGGATGGCGAAGTAAGAAACAGCGCGCTGGGTCTCGGTCGTTCCATACATGTTGATTATTCGCACATTGGCAGCGAGAGCCTGCAGGCGCAGACAGTCTCGCTTGGTGAGGACATCTCCAACAAAGAACGCGTTGAGAAGGGTGGGTATCTGGCGTGTTGCTTGCGCAGATAGTAGCTGACCCATAGCCGGAGTTAAATGAGTGACGGTAACCTCGCTGTTGGCCATCCATTCTGCCAAACGGCCTGGTGTGCCAATATCGTCGGCCGTCGGAACGTGAAGTTGGGCACCGAGGAAAAGAGGCGTAAACACTATAGAATACAAATTAGATTCGAGCACAAAGATCAGAAAAATGTGGCACTGACTGTCTCTCTGTATGGGATCGTGTGCGATTCCACTCAGCATGGTGAACCTGGAAGTCTCGTTCAAGCCAAATCGTTGGCCCATCCATGGGAAGAAATGGGTCAAGCTGAAATGCCGGCCTCTGACGCCTTTTGGAATGCCCGTGCTTCCACTTGTGAAGGATAAAGTACCAACACTGTCCGGACCGAGAGCGACATTTGGGTCCGTGTCGCCAAGCTGCATGTGGGCTTTAAGCACATCCTCTCCAGTGCTGTCGAGTCCTCCGAGGATGTGACCATCTGGGAATACTTCGACAGCAGGGACTTCAACCTTGATTTTCAACTCCTCCGACAGGAATTCTCGGACAGAGCTGCCAATTGTACCTGCGCCTTTCAAAACGACCAAACCGCGTGGCTGTGCAACGCGGAGGTAGATGATCTGGCGGGAAGCAGGATACGCAGGATCTTGGATTTTCACGTCAGATATTGTAAAATGGAGCATAGCTATAATTTGCATACCAATGACAGAAAATGTCGCTCCGGCCTTGAGCACCGCCATAACCGCAACCACAAGGTCCACACTTCGATGTGCGTAAACCATTACAACTTCTTCTCTTTGAATACCGTTCTTGATGAGGTGATGGGCAAGCACGTTGGATGCACGGAGGATGGCACCGTAGGAGTAAACGATTTTTTCTTGAGGTGCGTCCAGGGATTCAGCGGGCAAACTCTGGATAACGCAAGGTCTCTCAGGGTTTTGGCGCGCGTGTCGGGAGAAAACATCAGTAATAGCACCCTTCCACCCGCACCAATCCAGGTCTGCAGTGGGGTCCGGAAGCTTGGCCTTTTGGCTTGGAGTCAACAATGGTACGGCGCCCACCGGAGCCAGGGGATTGGCGGCGACCTTGCGCAACAACACTGAGAGTTGGTCAATGAATGTTGATATCCGCGTGGGGGTGAAAAGAAGAGAGTTATACACGATGCGGAGGGATATGTGTGGTGCAAGAGATGCTCGTGTGGTTGTAGGTGGTCTCGTTATGAAGACCGTCAAATCTGAAGTGACGTTGGTGGACCCAATAAAGCTCTCGGTCGGCTCGTCCGTTTCATCGAAGAAACGAACGCGGAAAAGAGGCCCGTCATGACCTTCCTCCTTGCCCTTGTGCAATGCGCGCGTAATTACATCGTAGGGGAGCGCATCTGCTTCGGCTTCCTTTTCTATTTGCTGAACGCGGCTGACAACGGCCCAGTAAGGATCCAAGGGGTCGACGGGGAATCGAAGAATGAGAGGCTCGCGTGCGGAAGCAGACGACGATCCAACGACGATGTCCGTGTCTCCTGTGTACCGATGCAAGAGGACCGTAAATGCAGCTAACAGAAGATGAAATGCTGATGGCCTCTTGACAATGACCTCTTCTTCGTCCTCGTCCGCTTCTTCGTTCTCCGTGTATAACACAAGTTTGAGAAGACTGAGAGATGCCTGTTCGGAGAGTTGGGCAAGGTGCACGGATTCGATGAGCTTGTTTGTTCCAGTGGGCCTTGGATAATCCGTTGGAAGGGAGATAGATGGGAGATTTTGCAGCCTTGCGAGCACTCTGTTGAGGCGCTCGTCCGCCATGTCTGTTTTGATCAAGGTGGGGAAACGAAACGAAACTCGAGTCAGTAACAACTTCACTTTTTTTCGCAAATCCGAAAGGCCGAAAGCGGTCGCAGATAAAATTCGTCACGTTCGTAAGGTTTTATCTCATCTGTGACAGATGACATTAAAACCTTATAAGATTACAATTTCAAAGAGATTTGATATGTCCCTCTTAGCTCAGGGGTAGAGCGCATCACTAGTAATGATGAGGTCAGTCGTTCAAATCGGCTAGCGGGAATTTTATTGCAATTTTTTTTTCAATCTGTTTCCTTTTTGTTGTACGATGGAGATTTATGTAGGGGATGTATGGAATTTGAGACTGGACCGGACGATGGTTACTGGGTCAGATTTTTAGTTGGAAATGCCAGTCATGGTAGATAGAATTTTAAGCGGCCAGTGAGAACCAAGTTCCGACAACAGCAAGACGACGAGTATCGTCAGCCTGTTAGAATACATCATGAATGTAGGGGACAAATTGTTACTCTGTTAAGGTACGTGCATGATACCTGAAAATATGAGCAACACACGATGACGGTCCACTGCAAAAATTCGAGTCAACAGGTGAACGCGGTATATCCGGACCGAGCATCCGTATTACGCGTGTGCATTGAGTGCGAGAGTTTGAAGAACTTCCCATTCAGTGGCGTGTGAGATACGAGTTGAGGCTGCACAGCGACCCATGACCACATCCACCTTACCCTAAGGCTAACTTTCATTATAGCCAATGGATGCTTCAGCTGTGCGGGCCGCAGATTCCGACAATATTAAAGAAGGACTTACGTTTTACACGCTTTAGATTGTTATCTCACCAGCTCAGAGCCTCTGCATTTAACCCCACCTGAAGCACAGAAAGGCGCCCAGCGTCAAAACTCAACTTTACGACGAAGCAAGAACGAACTCGGCTGTTTGCGGAGATTTATCAGAAGGATGGCCACTATGGATGCTGTTTGTTACCATGCGGTGCGTGAGGCCAGAGCCGCATTTCAACCCAATTCATGAATCAAGTTAATTCGTAAATCGTGATAACCATCCAGCCCCGACAATTAGACATTATCACAGTACCAATCCCTCAAATAAATGACGACCAGGTCCTTATCAAAGGTACGAGGGCTGTTTTATATTGTATCAATCTGGAAAACTCATAGAAATTTCTTCCGCGACCCAGTAACATGTTGTGGAATATGCGGAACCGACCAGCACTTGGCAGAAGTCGGTATACAATCCCTGAATTTCAATTTCGGTGTTAACTCTCTGATACTTGATTCTTGTCCTTACACAGGGAGAATTTATCGGGAAATTTCCAGTGAGGCGATCCCGATTCATCTCCTACCGCATCTGAGCCTTATTCAAATACACCTCAAGCTCATTCCAGGGCACGAAATAGTCGGCGTCATCTCGCAGGTCGGCCAGGCTGTGGAAGGCTTCTCTGTTGGCGACCGCTGCGTTGCAGATAATGCCATACTCGTGAGATACCTCTGGTCCCTCTTTCAATCCAAAGAGACTGAATCCATTTCTCTCGGAAACTCCCTTCTTTTAAGTGCGAGTCATGCTTCTACTGTCGCCGCGGACAGCATGTGCTATGCGAAAATTTCGAGAGCCTCGGTGTTACGATGGCAGGCGGATTCGCTGGATATGTCGCTGTGTGAGTCGTATTCTGGTCCAACTCTATTGGCCGAAGAGGACAGGTAATCCCAACCTTGCGAGGATTTTCAGACAGAGCAAGAAGGTTTACAAGATCAAGAATCTTACAGATGAAGAAGCAACCCTTGTGGAACCTGCATCGTGTGCGATTCATGGTCTAGACAGACTTAACCCCTCAGTAGGGATCGAAGCATTGGTTCTCGGGGCTGGCCCTACTGGTAAGCATACAATGTGGTCAATGTTAATCCCAGAGGAGTCTTCTAATCCCCGATCTTCTAGGCCTTATTTTGGCGCAGCTCTTGAAGCTGAATGGTGCTTCAAAGGTTATTATTGCCGCCAATAAGGGGATAAAGACACAGCTTGCTCAGCAGCTCGACGCGGGCGACGAATACATCGAGCTAGACCGCGACGATCCAGCCCCTCAATGGGCAAAAATGAAAGAAGAGTACAAACACGGTTTCGACGTCGTCGTAAGAACTCTAGCTAATTTCTTATTTTTGGTTTCATGCTTTAATGGTGTGCGCACTCTGACCTTCAGATCGAAGCGACTGGGTCGGAGAAAGTTGCCAACGATGCCTTAGGCTTCGTCCGGAGAGGAGGGTCCCTGATGATCTATGGTGTTTACTCCAACAGTGATCTGGTTCACTGGTCTCCAGCGAAAATATTCCAGGACGAGATAAAGGTGGGTCAACGATCATTTACTGCGGAGATCTCGAGTTTTCATGCCGTTGGTACGCTAGATTATCGGTTCATTTGCGCAAACCCATTGCTTTCCTCGGGCCGTTGCCTATCTAGACAGTGGCAAGATCAAGGTTAAAGGAATGGAAAGTCGCCATTTTCCCTCACCACCTTCCTATTTCCTTGTCTGACGTTCGAACGTCATTTTGTGCAGGTTACAGACGTCTTCCCAATCAGAGACTTTGACAAGGCGCTTGAGAAAATGAAGAGCAAGTCTGCCTGTAAAGTCGCATTGAAGCCATGATAGAAGCAACTGTACTACCCTTTAAAGTGATTTATATTGACTGATGATCTTTACTAAAGTTAGACTTTACCCATGGTACTTTAGGACGGTACCACGAGTCTCCTTGTCGCAAAGAGATACTCTTTGTACATCGCTCTGGTAAAATCTTCCTCAGAAAATTCAGTTTGGGTCTCATTCGGGTCTCGAATCTGTGCTGAAAGATTTATCGCCCAAAAAGAGACCCTGGACGTACAGAGAGACGCACAAGACAAGGTAGATGAAATCATGACAAAAATACGATAAGATCATGCGAACGATACCTATCCATCAATACGGCGGAAGACATTTTTACTACCACTGCGCACGCCTTTCCTCCTGTGCATCCGGCCTTGCCTCTCCGAATCGCCCATGTCCGCTTTCTCCTCCACTCCTCTCTCAAGCCCAGCACCGAAAGACTCGACCCCTTTCCTACGGACTTTGTCTTTGCCTGGCCTCTCTCTATCCTGTCCATCTCCACCATCCCTCCCACCGGACCCAGATGACGGCACCCAGCTTATCTCCATAGGCGCGTCTGCTTCTGCATGCCCCTGTCTCACGCCAGACTTTCTGGCAGTATTAGAAGACACTGGAGTGCGGCGCTGACCAAATGTCGCGTTTTTGTCGCCGAGATTCTGGGACGGACCTCCGGTTTGAGGGCGGATAGGAACCATGCTGACTTTCTTCTTGGAGGTCCAGCCTTTCCGATTTTCTGCTTTCTCCCGTTGATATGCCTCCTCGGCGCGGAAATTCCTCTGTCCAGGCTTAGTTCGAGGATCGAATTTCGTAAGTTCTAAGAAAAGAAACATGCAAAGGAACAAATATGAAAGTCAGTCAATGGAGAAGATGAAGGTAAATGAAAGTGACGAACCGCCTTCAGCACTGCTATCACTGGATACATCGCTAGCTTCACTTTCGCTTTCGCTTCCTCCGAGACCGTCGCTAGAAGCTCTCTCGCTCTCTTCTTCTTCTTCTTCCACAGCAGTCTTCCCGCGGCGAGCGGGATTCTGAGCAACAGAAGATGGGTTGAGCAGTGCAAATTCTCTCGAATTCTCGTCGATCGTAAATGCGGGGTCCTCGAAGACTTTCGCGAAACGAGGGTCCGAGAGAATAGTCGGCCGCGACGGCTCGGCGTCCACATCCATGGACTCGGCATCTGTTTTGCGGTTTTTCTTCTTTTCGGCGCGCAGCTTGGCCTTTTCTTCGTCCCTGAGAACCTTCTCAGCGAGCGCCTTGTTAACCTTGACCCCAGGGTCCTTCTTGGCACGAATCCGAGTCTCCGCCTCCTTCTCCATCTTCTCGCGAATCATCTTCTCACGATGCTCGTCGTAGGCGAAGGGGTTGGCAATGATGCGAGCAGTATCGTAGAGCTTGAGCGAGAGGAAATAGCCATGCATATATGGTTTGAGGGCGGGCGTTCCAACAAGATGATCCAATCCCAGACTATGAAAACAGAGAGAGATGTGAATTACAGATTTTTGAGAAAGAAAATATCACGTACGTTTTGAGTTCGCTTCTCTCGACGAACTTGTAGTCTTCGTAGACAGAGCGCGTTGTCTGATCTTCCATCTCTTCGGTAATATTTTCGAGGAAGCTGGCCCAACGAGGAGCTGGCCCAAGTTGAGGGATGTAATATGTGCACATCTGGATTCCTTCGTTGGCTGACATGAGAAGACCACTTCCAGGAACATGATGGACGTCGTTTAGATCGGTCGCTGGTGTTACTGAAGCGAAATTGGAAGCGGGCTGCAGGAGGAGACGTCAGGGAGCTAACGGATATCGTTATAATAGTCAGACGTACTGCATTCCGATCCCATATTTTGATTACTTTTTTGTCGGCACTCATTACCATACCGTCTCCAGCCATCCGGCTACCACCCTCAATCCAAGACACATTTTTAACGGGTACACCATATCCTTGATCTTTCATGGCGAAGGGTTTTGCTGCACGGATGTCGTATAACAACGTATGTCCTGTCGATGTTCCAACTGCGTATGACAAACCGTCTGCTCGTGATGAAATCGCAGTTACACTCAAGTTTTCCACTTGGGCGCCAACTGGCATTAGTCGTTCCCTGGGTAGCCGCAGAGTTCCAACACATGAGCGAGATCGAGGATCCCAGAACTGGGTGGTTCCATTGCCATCGATTCCGAAAGCAAGTAAATGGTGGGCTGGGTTGATGTCGACGACGTTCACCCCAAGTATCTCACCATCAATACCGTCTTCTAGCAGAAGTGGGTTCATAAACCGTCCCTGGTCCAAATTGAGACGATACACCTCGTTTCCTGTGGCAGAGATGTAGGTGTCGCATGAGGGAAAATGGTACGCAAGCGAACGGCCAAAACGAGGTATTCTTGTGCGGTAGTGGAATCCACCTTGGGTATGCAGTTCAATAGTTCGGTCATTCTGTAGGTGTATCGACTTTGTCCAGTCGTCAGATAGGATCTAAAGACAATAAGGCAGTTAGTTTCAACCTGAAGACTGGGCACCACCAAGACGTCAGAATGGTGGACAACTCACGCACAACAAAATCAACATTCTCAGCATCGGAATGTCGTTCAAATTTCAGTGATAGTTGGTCCAGATCCCAAACTCGCAT